GGGCAGCACGTGTTGCGGGCGCCACCGGAAGGGGCGTTCCTTGAGCGGGCCCTATGAACCTGTGCGCCTCTGGTCACCAGCTGTGCCATCAGGTTGGCAAATTCACGTCTGTGCGTGAGGTTCGTGAGGTTCGGGAGTCCCTGGGTTCGGGGCCCACGGCAGGATCTCGCTCTCTGTAGAGCGCAGACCGGGAGGAAACTGCGAAGCGTGGCTCGGAGCAGCTCTGAGCCCAGCGCGCTCACGCCACGTGTCCAGACGAAGGCCAACCAGTGGACTTGAGGTTTTGAGGGGACGGGTCTGGACGGCTGCAGGAGGTGTGGGCAGGAGCACTGTTTCCTGCAGACGTGCCCCTCGCCCCGACGGCAGCAGCTCCAGGGAGGTCAGTGTGGGCAGCCCTGTTCTCCCAGCGGATCGCCCCTGAGCTCTGAGCGTGCTGCCTGCTGCATGGTCTCAGGGTGCGGTCAGATCGGGGCTCAGTCTGAGGTGGGAGTCTTGGGTCAGTTCTGTGTCCCCTGTAGGACTCTTGCCACCCCTCCCCCCCATCCCCGCCCCCGCGACACCTGCCTGGCATCGTTGGCGAAGGGGACATCACTGCTTTAGGAAAGTTCTAGGTCAAATGACCTTGAAATAGGGGGAGGCGCACACAGACCCAGGCGGTAAAACTGCAGGACCATCCTTGTGCAAGCTGGGGACAGGGCACCTTGGGGGGCTCGGTGGGTCTGGGAGTGTGAGGAGGGCCAGGTCCACGCTCAAACTTCAAAACCTGGCCCAGACACACTTCTAGATGTTGGGCAGCCCTCGCGAGAGCTGGAGGGAGTCGTTCAGGGCGGGTGGGAACGGAATGGTTCCCCTTGAGAGGGGGTAGGAGCGCACAGCTGACACCTGGCCCCCGCCCTTGGACTTTCGAGGACCGGAAGTGGGCGGCCGAGGCAGGGGTGGGTGGGTCTGCAGCCGGGAACAACCAGACACCTTCCTGGGGCCCCCTTGTCCAGCCCATGACGGTTAGGTTTCCCGTCCCTGCCCCGGCCTCCTCGCCACCCTGGGGGTACCTTGAACATAACAGGAAATTTCAAACAACAGGAAACAGCGCGGGCTGGTGGCAGCTCCGCCCTGCCGGGCCCAGCCACCCCAGGCCTCAGTCTGCCCCCGGGGTCCCGCTATGAATGCTACAGGGTCCCTGGCTGCCAGCCCCGAGACCTGTCAGTGGCTGGCAGCCGAGGGCCACAGCCGGCTGATCCTGCTACACTACAACTACTCTGGGCGCCTGGTGGGGCGCGGGGACCCTGAGGACCGGGGTCAGGGGGTCCTGCGCTGCCTCTTTGTAGCTGTGAGCTGCCTGGTGGTGCTGGAGAACCTGCTGGTGCTGGCCGCCATCACCACGCGCATGCGGTCGCGGCGCTGGGTCTTCTACTGCTTGGTCAACATCACGCTGAGCGACCTGCTCACCGGCGTGGCCTACCTGGCCAATGTCCTGCTGTC